AAACATGATTACATCCCAGCACACGAACATGCAAGTTAATAATTATAAATGATCTGTTATTGATTATTCACTTCAGCAACTTCACTAATCCTTACAGAACCTCCGTGAAGCTTCTGAATTCCATTCTCCAACCCTCCTGTCTCCCCACCCCCCAGACTTCCTCTGCCTTTCTAGCTGGCCGTTGAAAAAATTCATCTAGAGGTCCAAGAGTGTGTCCAAAAACAGAGTTGGAATCCCCCCCCACCCAACCCCAGCACTAGCATGGATTCCTGGAGAGAGCATGGAATCTGGTCTGGGATCTGGAAGCTTTGGGTTCAGATCTTGATTCTGCTTCTCACTGGCCTCATGATTCTAGGCAAATAACTTTTCTGAGCCTCAGTTTCTTATGGGTAAAGAAAAGGCTACTTTCATTTGGTCGTTTGGCATATTACTTATGAAAACTTATGTGAAATTGCTAGCATGTCTGGCACATAGTAATTTCTCAGTTCTATTTTCATAGTTTTTGATTTCTTTTGCTGGCCCAGCCATTTTTCCAATCTCTCTGTCTCTTTACTCAGCTATTATCCGTTCTGTTTCTTACTCATCTTCACTGTCATCATTCTGCTTTGGCCTCGCTTACACTTCTCCTGGTGTACAACCATTTATAATACAATGGTTTTGTACCTGGTTTTCCCATCTACTCATCAACCACGGGACAAGTTGATTTTCCTAAAGCATAGCACTGATCAGGTTTCTTCTTTGTTTAAAATCCTTCAGGGGTTTAGCATTACTTATCAAGCAAAACCCAAATCTTTGTTGGCAGGCAAGGTCTCTTTTTGCTGAGCCTCTGATCTGCCCCTTTAGGCCAATCTGTCTTCTTCTTTTTAAAAAAGATTTTATTTTTAAGTCATCTCTACACCCAAAGTGGGGCTCGAACTCATGACCCCGGGATCAAGAGTCACATGCTCCGCCGACTGAGCCAGACTGGTGCCCCCAGTCTCTGTCTTGTCGTACTTCTCCTGGACTGCTTTTTCCAAACCTGCTCTCACTTTCCTGCCTTGTCCTTGCCTGGATTCTGTCGGGAAGAGCGTCTCTCTGTAGCACCACCTGGTGCTCCTTTCCCAGGAATATTTTCCTCAGAATACCCATAGCATTTGGTTTCAGTCCAATAAATGTTTGTTACAAAGTTTATTTGACAAATACATTTTTCGAACTCGAATTCATTCAGCCTTCAGCTCTTTCATGTGTCCATTCTACAGATGAAGAAGCTGAGGCACAGAGAGGGAGTAACTCTCTTGGTCATAGAGCTGGTAAGTGACAGATTGGGGATTCCAACCCAGGTGGTGTGGCTGCAGGCTGTTATTAGCCACATGTATTCTATACCATGCTGCTTCTCAACTTCAAAATTTTTAACATTTCATGTGTGTTCCTGCTAGTCCTATTCCTGTTAATGTACTGTTGCAGTTCTCTACCAAGCTTTCCTTTTTTTTTTTTTTAACAACGATTATTTGTCTAGTTTATTGAATCATTTAGCCTTTTCTACCATGTTTGAGTCAAAAATTAAACCAGTGTTTGTCTGAAAGGGTTCTGGATGAGCAAAGCCATTTGATAGTGGATATCTATCTATCTATCTATCTATCTATCTATCTATCTATCAGATATTTCTTTATATATTTATGTGTTATATTTCTTTTAGGGGCTGATATAAAACATTTCCACTCTGGTTCCATAATCCTTGTGTATCAATTATACATATATTTTTTTAAAGATTTTATTTATTCATTTGAGACACAGAGATAGAGAGAGAGAGAGCATGAGCAGGGGGAGAGGCAGAGGGAGAGGGAGAAGCAGGCTCCCCGCTGAGCAAGGAGCGCAGTTCGGGGCTCGATCCCAGGACCCTGGGATCATGACCTGAGCTGAAGGCAGACGCTTAACCATCTGAGCCACCCAGGCGCTCCTATACATGTTGTTTATATATTGAAGATTTTCAACAAGATGGGATGTCTTGCATTAAGCAGGCCAAGAACATTCCCATGCCTCTAGGCACCCGGTAGTTTCTAGGTGGAAAACTAGCCTGTTTTTCTCACTGCCTTATTTCCAGTGTCTAGCATATTGCCTGGAATATGGCTGGTAAACAAATGCTCAAAGAACCATTCTATTTCCTCATGTTGTTCTAAGTACTCTTAGTAATAAGTTATTTATATGTTAATTTATTCCTTCATGTTTGTTATGATCACCCTTGGTGTGGTTCCTAAAGTTGCAATACAGAGTTCCACATGCAGTCACTTCCAAAGAAACAAAGAAATGAATCTTTATTTCCCACTTGAGGGTGGCTGGGTATCATAGCAAATGGAGCCCAGGGTGATTACAGAATATATTTAATAGGTCCCTTGATCCTACTTCTCTCCACGTCTGAAGGTGTCAATTTTTTTAAAGCAGGGGTGCTTAGTCAGGGGCACACATACCCTTTAGGAGATCCATGGATGGACTTCAGGGTCTAGGAGATTGCTAAAATTGTGTACATAATTGTATATGAATTTTTGGGGGGAAGAGGTCCATAGATTTTTTTTTTTATTTTTTATTTGAGAGAGAGAGAGAATGAGAGACAGAGAACATGAGAGGGAGGAGGGTCAGAGGGAGAAGCAGACTCCCCGCCGAGCAGGGAGCCCGACGCGGGACTCGATCCTGGGACTCCAGGATCATGACCTGAGCCGAAGGCAGTTGCTTAACCAACTGAGCCACCCAGGCGCCCGAGGTCCATAGATTTAAAAGAATAATTTATATTATTCTGCTTTGCCTTTTAAATGATAAAGTAATATGTTCATACTGTGAAAAATTCAAACTGTATAGAATATCAAGTAAAAAAATTCAGCCAGCACAGAAGCATATCAAATAATAAGTTAGAATTTGTTTTTTCTTCACTTTTCTCTCTTTACATCTTCAATCTCTTAATCTCATAAGAGGATCATACCATGGTTCTATTTGACGACTGACTTTAATAATACAAAGTTATATTTCCATACAAGTACATATAGACCAGCCTTTTTGAAAACCTTTATTTTGATATAATTACAAATTCACATGAAGTTGAAGAACATGTATAGAGAGGTCCGGTGTTTCAGGACCACTGGTAATATATCGCATAACTATAGTACAGTACCAAACCGGGAGGCTGATGTTGAGGTCTACAGAATTTATTAACATTTTTCCAGTTTTACCTGTCCCTGTGTGTGTGGTTCTATGCAGTTGTCTTATGTACTATGCATGTAACCATGACTACAATCAAGGTGCGGAACTGTCTGCAATCACAAGGACCTCTCCTGCTACTCCTTTGATAGCCGCATCCACCTCTCTGTCTGCTATCCCTAATCCCTGGCAACCACTTATCTGTTGTTTAGCTCCATAATTTTGTTATTTCAAGAATGTTATATAAAGGGAGTCATACAATTTGGAGTCTTTTGAAATTTGCTTTTTTTTTTTTTTTTTTCCACTCGGCATAAGTCCCTGGAGATTTACCCAAGTTGTTGAGTTTATCTGTGGTTCACTTCCATTTATTGCTAAGCAATATGTGGTACAGGAGGTGGGTGCCACAGCTGGTTTCTCCATGTGCCCACTGAAAACCATTTAAGTTGTTCATGGTTTTTGGCTGTTGTGAATAAAACTGCTATGGACACTAGTGTACCGGTTTTTGTGTGGAAAAGTCTTCATTTTTAAAAAGATTTTATTTATTTATTAGAGAGAGTGAGTGAGAGAGAGAGCGGGGGGCAGAGGCAGAGGGAGAAACAGACTCCCCGCTGAGCAGGGAGCCTGATGCGGGGCTCGATCCCAGGACCCTGAAATCATGACCTGAGCCGAAGGCAGACGCTTAACTGACTGAGCCGCCCATGCACCCCCAAGTCTTTATTTCTTTGGGATAAGTGCCCAACAGTGCAATTGCTGGGTCACGTGATAAGTGCTTGTAGTTTTATTAAGCACTACAAAACTATTTTGAGGTCTGTAGCTTTATCACAGGTTATCAAAGGGAACCGTGATCCTAAGAAGGCTGAACCAACTTGACATGACCCACATATGGTCTGTGACCCAATTATTTGCTCCAAATTGTCATGTAAGGAAACTTTTCTTTTCTCATTCTTTCTTCTGTTACCTCATAGGCACTTCGCACGAAACCTTCAGCAATGTTTCTTTGAGGACATTCCTTATCATTTACAACCCTCGTCCTAGGACTCCTCTAACTTCTATTCCTCTGCAGTCTTTTCAGTGCCCATTATCTCTAAGAGGAATCAGCAACAACTCTTGCTCTCAGGGATTTTGACTGCATTTACCATACTGTTCTTATTTATTTACATTGTCGACACTTCATCTACTGATTGTCCGTGTCTGCTCTGTTAATCCTGTGTCTTATAGACAATTAAGTCCTTTCTACTTACTCTTGCACTGTGTTTCCAATATTCCCTCTACCACATGTCGACTGGTCTTCACAACACACTGGATGCTCGAAGCCAGTGGATTATTCGTTCAGTGCACTGAGTCCTTCAGCTGCTTCCAGTGGAGGGATGTGCTCAGAAGGATCAATGGAGCTTGTTCCCAAGCCCGTTTTCCAGATGTGTTTGTTGTTGAAATTATGTAAATTGATTAAATATTATGTAAAGTGGTCATATATAGGTGGGAAAGAAAGATATTGTTTTTATGAAAACTTAAGTTGCATGTTTCGAAAGTCTTAAGGAACTCACTAAACAAGTTGCAGTTCAATTTAGTGTGGAGGAAAATCTAGAAGGATTTTGCCCTTAGACTGTTTTACAAGTGTCTGCATGTTCTGTTTCTTGTTAAAGAAAGTACAACTGGAAATTATAGATACATTATGGGTGTGGTTTATGCAAGAAAAAAAGGCTTCGCACTATTTCATAAGCTTGATGAATTTTCATTTGTATATTTTAAGTTACTGTAAAATATGTAAGGTATGTTTGTATCACCTTAGGACTCTCCCTTTTAACGGATATTTTTGCTTATGTAACTAATTCCAGGACTGAGTTATGTGGGAAACGCAGCCTGCAACAATGTGATGGCATTTTGCAGGTAAGGAAACTGAAATTTACAGAGATTATGTAACTTGTCTTCTTTTTCCAGAGGATTAATGATCCCCCAGTGGATATTGCAAAAATAGGATTGGGTATACATGTCATGTGTTGGGAAATTGCTTGATCCTATATCAAGGTTTTATTTATTTATTTTTTAAACCTTTATGTAATATGCATATTGGTGCCTGAAACCATTATTGATAGTGATGATAAATTTAAAACACTGTGACATTGTAATTAAAATACTTAAGAATGTTGAGTTAAAAAAAAGCAGGTTACAAACCCTGTTTATAATATAAATCCAGTTTTGAGAAGAAATATATATATATCCAATTTTGGGGAAAAATATATATGCTTTAGATTAGCATTACTGTCTAATACGCATCTTCCACATAAAATAGACCGACAACATTTTTACCAAGTCTTAATGATTGTTTTTCTTTCTGAATGGTAAGAGGAGAGATCATTTCTTTATTTTGCTTTTCTGTATTTTAAAAAATTGCCTCTAGGCATATATAATATTTTTATGATCATTTAAAATGTTCTGAAAAACCAGTCATGGACTTGATTTTTTTCATTCTCCTTCACCTTAAAAAATATGCTGACTGGTCTATTATTACAGTCATTTTAATGCTGGTGGCATGGGATCAGGGGAAGTGAAGGACTCTTCCACAATATTTTCCCTTTGTCTGGTCTTCTGGACAAATCGCTTTAAAAAACAGGCCCACATTCTGACCTGCTTTTCTCTGATACCTGACAATTCGTCTCAGATGTTTCTCTCCCGGGTCTACCAATGTCTTATCATTGCTGCGTTCTGAAGAATTGAATGCAGTATGAGTTGATTTAACAGAGCTCTGTCATCTTCGATCTCTATTATGTCTAAGATTATAAGAAGTCTCCTGTCTTGTGACCTGGAATGGCCCTGCTAGAATGAATAATTCACCATCTAGGCTTCTGTGAGAGTCACCTTATCTATGCCTTACCTGTTTTTAATGGAAGTTTTCTAACAAATGAAAAAATATGGGTAAATAATTTTTCAGATTTTGTTTCTTATACCCCTGTAGTAGATTCCTGAGCTATATAAATGTGCAAATGAAAGCTGTCTCTTATTATCCACCTGGCTTTCTCCGTGCAACTCATTTAGCTACACCTCTGTCTTTTCTTTTTGATGTAACAATTGCTGAGATGAGGATGAATTGTAATATTACTTGTCTGGAATCGGAGTGAAATATGCCCGGAGAATGCAATGATTAGGGTGGGGGGAGGGTGTTTCTATGTGAGAAACATACTCTTTTTTAAAAATCAGCATTGGTGGAAAATTGCCAGCTGATACATGGAGCTTTTAGTTAAAAACAAAGTCCTAGATTATAGTTTTCCACAGAAACATGGTAATAATTCATTAAACTTTAACAGTTTAATCCAGAAGTCAGTGATGGTGGGGGGCCTCCGTGTGAAGCATAGAAAAAAAAAAAATCTCTCTGAGGTTTGGTGCAATTTTCTTGCTTTTAATCTGGTGTTCAGGGTGTTTCCAATCATCCTTGCTTCACAGTTGGGAGTTTTTCCTTGGCGTTCTCAAAGATTGTAGAAGGAATGATAAAACAGCTGTTATCAGGCTGTGTGAGAATCTCCCTCTTACCTCACCACAATAGGAGGGTGAGGTACAGATGTTGTTTAATGAAGAACTTAAGAGACAGGTCAGCCTGTCCAGCCTGGATGAACACAAGGCTGTAATTGCTCAAGTAGGGACACATGTTACACCCCAAAGAGGATTCTCTTTGACAGCTCCAGCTTTTCTGGCTGAGTCCTCCGAGAGGCGAGAATAATGATGTCTGTGGATGTATCTTGATGTGTGTAAGGGGACACAGGGAGGGTGGCGGGTGACAGATATGAGGGTCACGAAATGGTTTAACTTTTCCTTTGTCTTCCAAATTTAAGACACTTGTGGCATAAGAATTGTCCTAAGAGTTCAGTATTTGACTTTTCTTGAACAATTCAATTCTCAATGCTAATCCACCTGCCAATCAACACCTCGGAAACAAATGGAAAGTATGAGAGGATGAGTCAAATGCCTTACTCATTACAGAGATTTCATGAGCAGAGAACAAGAGGGAGTTCACTCAAGTGATCTCTCAGGACAGCATCCCAGAACTTCTGCTAACAATCAACTGATCCATAGAGGTCTGATTCTACTCTTGTTCAGTTGACACAGGTTCCCCAGCCATCCAAGTGCAGGGCTTGACCCTTCTAGTGATTAAACACTCCTCGCGCTTTGGTGAGCCAATGGATCACATATGAGTGTGATAAGGGCTCTAACAAAAAGAATTGTAGAAGATAAGTTTCATTTTTTAAAGTACTGTCACCTTTTGTCTATCTTTTAAATACAATATAAAAATTTTTTTACCAAAAAAAGAAAGAATTGAAAAAAATAAAAGAGAAATAAAATATCTTTGAATCGTAACCCCAGTAACCAGTGGTAATTATTGTTAACATCTTGGTGTAGGCTTTCCTGTCCTGTTTCTTACGCGTGTGTACACCACCCCCCCACATACATTTTGATTTTTTAAAATAATAATCACATGAGTCATCACATTCATATTGTTTAATAATCTGCTACTTTCACTTGATAATATCATGGTCATTGTTTCATGTCAGTACATTAAGCCTCGGGTTATAATTTTTAATAGCCACATTGTAATCAATTGTATAGATTTATCTTTAGTTATTAAGCTGATTCCTTATAGATGGACATTTAGTTTTTTCCCACCATTCTGCAATTATAACAAACTCTATGATAAATACTTTTGCAATTTTTTTTTTACACATTTGACAAATTATGTTAGAAAATAGAATTTCTGGAAAAAAGAAATTGATAGCTACAGCCAAACTGTCACCTAAAGATGTTAAACCAATTTATGTTCCTGCCAATAGTGTATGAGAATTCCTGTGTTTTCTCAAACACTTGCCAACATTAGGTTTTGTGTTTAAAAAAATCTATATTAATCTGTTAAATTAAAAATATTATCAGTTTGTTGTCCTGATTTGCATTTATTTTCTAACTAATAAGATAGAGCATTTTTTATATGCTTGTAACCACTTGTATTCTATGTTTTACCATCTGCCTTTTCATAACTTTTGTTCATTTTTTATCCTATTTGGCTGTTTATATTTTCCTTATTGATTTTTAAGTTCATTATGTATTAAGCATATTAATTATTTTGTCATGAATTCTTTCCCATAAGTCCCCAGTTTGTCAACTGACTTTCTAAAAACCTTGTTAATGGTTTTTTGGGTCAAAGAGAAACTTTAAAAATGGTATGTAATAAAATCTGTTCATCTCTTCCCTTTATGATTTCTATCTTTGCTGTAATTCCCAGCCCAAGATTATGTAAATTTCACTGATATTTTCTTCTAGTACTTTTATGATTTATTTGTTCTTATTTGAATCTTTAGTCTATATGGAATGTTTCTTACATTCCAGTATACAGCACTGGTTAGGAACTTAACCCTTTCTCCTTAAATGGTTAACTACATTCTCCATCATCACATATTGAATTTTCCATCATTTCATTATTGTTTTGAGATGCTTTCTTTATCAGATTATAAATTCTGATACATACTGGGTCTGTTTCTGAATTTACTCTTCTATTACTCCATCTACTCTTATGCCAGTGTCATACCCTTTCAAAAACTCTGACATAATGTAGTGGACAACTGGAGGGCATATCCTTTTGTCTACTTAGCCATTGCACACCACCATCTTCCCATAGCAGTTATGAATGTATGCCTGGACTTGAGTCCAACCCTGTTACTTACTGCATGTGTAATCACAGGCAAATTGCCCACCTCTTTCATGCGTTGATTTCTTCCTGTGTTGAATGAAGAAAATATACCTCACAGAGTTGTTGTGACAAGTGATGTAATCTGTGTAAAGCTCTCTGTGCGGAGCTTGGAATATAGTATGTTCACCAATAACTTAGTTCATAATAGACATTAATTTTTTAATTTTTTATTTATTTTTATTTTTAAAAGATTTTATTTATTTGACAGAGAGAGAGAGAGAGAGAGACAGTGAAAGAGGGAACACAAGCAGGGGGAGTGGGTGAGGGAGCAGCTGGCTTCCCATGGAGCAGGGAGCACAATGTGGAGCTGGATCCCAGGACCCTGAGATCATGACCTGAGCCGAAGGCAGACACTTAACGACTGAGCCACCCAGGCACCCCATAATAGACATTTAGGACATGGTCCTTCTCATGGTTTTGCTCATGACTTGACTGGAAAGATTAAGGATAAACATGAAAAGGGAGATAACTTGATGACACACCGTAAGGTGAACACGCACATTCCAAACCTCCCCTCTGTTAGGTGGCAGACTCAGGGCTGCTGTGGCGGGAACAGAGATGTGTGTAGGGCAGCTGCAGCTCAAGACATATTTCAGGGTGGCAGTGACTTGATTTGGTCATCAATGTCCAGGAATTGTTCTCAGCTTTGTGGTCCAGTTGATCTAGAGTCAGTTCAGATCTGGAGTCACACCCAGCAAATACATGGTTTCAGGTTATCTGATCTGAGAAGACGCACATGTCTAATGCTCTCAGATCATGTGCCCTGTCCAGAAACCATGGAGATCTGCATTCTGCTGGCTGCTTTTATAAACATGGTACAATCCCTCTCCTCATTTTTTTGTCTACCAATCATTATGATGTTCAAGTTTCCCAAATCAGAGGGGTGGTGCCTATTGCAGGTGCCCAGATGCAGTGGCAGCTTATCTGGTGCCTTCTTGCTCATGGAGTCTGAGTCTCTTAAATTGTTTATGAATGTGGATTTCCACTGTTTGGAAGGCCTGCCTTTGATACCACGTATGACACTAAAATGACTTAATGTGACTTATATTAACTTGTTATACTCTTTTCTGTTCCTTTACCCAGCAGCTATTCCTTATGCCAGCCTCTCAAAGCTGGATAAATTATTTCTGCACCCCCATATAGAGTAACTCTTCTAGAA